AATACCAGCACTGAGGCCAGCCTGGTCTGCAGAGTGAGTTCCAGGACAGCCTGGGCTATACAGAGAAACCCTGTCTCGAATAACCACCAAAAAAAAAAAAAAGGTGGTTCAGTGGTCTGCTCTTGCCTAGTAGTAAGGATCCTGGGCTTCATAGCCAATCTTCAATACCAGGATGGGGGCATGGCAGGGGATGTATTTCACAGGTGTGAGTCTCTGGAGTCAACCCTAGTACCTCAGAAAATGGAAGAAAAATCATACTTAAATTTGGCCTCCTCCATGATGACCCCTTAACCCCTGTTAGTCCCATGATGGCAGCCTGCCAGAATACACCTATGTCTGGCCTCTCACCTGCTGTGGCGTGTCCTTTGTGATGTTAGGGATATGCCAGTGACAGACACAACCCTGGTTCTGCCCTCCTGGAGGGCTTCTTGGGGGTGGTGGCTGCACTGAGCCAGGGATTCAGGAAGCAATTCAGTCAAGTAGCAGGAGTGTTTCTGTTGTGTTTTATTTCTGACTCTGGTGTCCAATGTCTCACTGGCTTCTCGGGCCTCTCATGTGTTACTAATTCATCATAGTTTCCCTTGAGCCTGCTGTGGGCCAGAGGCCACTCAGTGTCTCTGGAGCAATAAGTGGCCCTGCTTGGCTCACAGTCCAGGGAGACAGCAAATGAATAATCACATCAATATGTGTTACAGGAAGCATCTCATGTGAAATTTCAAGTTGGGCTGTGGACAGATAGGACACGGGACAGGGATATGTCAGAAAAAAAAAAAAGAAAATCCCGGGCACCTGCTGTAGTCTTGTGGGAGTCGGGAACCAGATGCTTGGAGTGCGACTGTCTCCGTCATGAAGACTTCACTCATTTACAAAAATGAGTGACCCCTTCTGTGCAACTAATCCCTTTCTCACTTTATTGTCTCTTGACTTTATCAACCCTAAAATCTTATTATATGTCTTCTACATTTGTTTTGTGTGCACACATGCCACAGTGTGCGCGTGGGGGTGAGAAGCCAGCTTTTGGGACCGAGCTCTGTCTCCACTGTGTCAGTTCCAGGAATTGAACACAGGCTTCAGGCTGTGTGGCGAGCACCTTTATCTGTGGGGCCATCGTCTCTCTCACCGGCCCCCTTACTCATTTCCCTCCTCACACTCGTCTGACACACACATAAGTCGGACTTGTGACAAATACCCTTAATCTTTGCACTTGGGAGGCTGAGGAGGATTGCCTGAAGTTGGAGGCTACAGCCTAAGCTACCTAGCAAGATCCTGACTCAAGAAAAGTGAAGCCAGGCTGGGGATGTGGCCCCACTGGTTATGTTGCTGACTTAGCCATGCTCAAAGCCCTGGGTTTCATCTCCAGCATCTCCAGCACAGTGGAAGCTGGGTGTGGTGGTGCAAGCTTGTAATCACAGAACTTGGGAGGTGGAGGCAGGGGCATCAGAAGTTTGAGATCATCCTCAGTTGCATAGCGAGTTGCAAGCCAGCCTGGGCTACATGAGACCCTTTCTCAAACCAAATCAAAGAGAAAATAACACACCACTAAGTTTTGGTGACATGGATATCACAAAGTGAAGTCAAACACAACAGGCTGCAGAAAGCGGCTGTGACCCAGTGGTAGCAATTTCATACAGGACCCCAGAGCCTACGGGAGAAATGATAAAAGTTCCCAGAGAGCTAACCTTAGAAATTCTTACGAGCGTGATGGATGGAGAGGTGACTGTGAAGGCAGATGCCACTAAGCCATTACCGCTTTATGGTCATGGTTGTAAAGAGAGCACACGCACACCAGGAACATCAGGAGCTATGGTGAGGTGCAGGGCCAGTTTGCCGAGGAAACCAGTGAGGTCAGAGAGCTATCCCTAGCAAAGGTGACCATGTGCTCCACCTACAAGGCCAGCCACACTGTCCATCTCCCAACTGCACTGAGCTGCAGACAGCTAAGAGCTTCCTAGGTTGCTAAACAAACTAAATTATAACGAACTGTTAAACAATACAACATGAATACACACCAGGCCTAAGGCCCTGAGCTGCAGGTCTTCTGTCCCCATGGCCCCATCTGCTGGTCACATTGAGAAATACACCTAGAAGGGGCCTTAACTTGCTTCATGGGCTGTCCCCAGCCTTCTGGGTATGGAGGGGACCCTGCCTGGCACACTGTGGTCTAGATCTGGGAGCCTGACCTGGACACACACCCTGACAAGGATCTCAATGGCCTTGGGCTGCAGCTGTTAGACTTTCCTTCCCGCCCTGGGACTGTTGGAATCGAATAGTGCTTGTCTTTGGTTTGTAGGAGATGGGAGAGGGCAGTGTGGTGGGTGTTTAACAATGTGGCCTGTCTGCGGGTAATAAGGATCAAGAACCACAGGTCATGGGAGCTGGGGCGGAGTACACTGTAAGTAAATGCTTGGCATCTGGGAGCCAGAGTAGGGAGGGGAAACCTTGGGTATGCACTACTTCCAAGAAATGGGAGGCTTTACTTGCTTAGGCCTTCAGTCTCAAAAACCAAAATCCCTGACTGGTTGCAGCGTGTCCATAAACCAGAGCACGCCCACCACCAGCAGGCTGGGTCACGTAGCCCAGGCAGGAATGGGAACACACGGTGGCACAACTCAGAGGTAATTTTAATATCCCAGTAGCTATTTTCCGTGTTAGTAAACTGAGGCCCCGGGAAGAAGTCAGGTGCCTGTGGCCTCTCATCCATCTGTATATCCCGCAGAAATGCACAGAAATGCAAGGGCTGTCGCGCATGCGCTCAGCAGGCTGCTCGCCCACCTTGCTTTGAAGAAGAGTCTCTCCGCAGAAGACAGGTCTCCACCGCTCCATCTGCCCACGGGAGCGCTGGGTCTATAGATGCGTGCTGCAACAGTTGGCTTTTATGTAGCTTCTGGGGACTGAACATGGGCTATCAGGCCTTTATGTGCTGAGCTAGCTGTCTCTCTGGTCCCGAAAGTAGCCTCTCTCTAAAGCTCAGCCCTTGACATTAGGTGAGGGGGATCTGCAGCTGGGAGCTCTCCCACCCGCATCTTCACACCCAACTCCACTGCAGCCCAGGGGACTAAGAGGCCTTCTCTTCCCACAACTTCATGGAAGTAGAGGGCGTTAGTGAGCATCTGTGCTTTACAACTGACTGGGGCTTCTTGAGATGGGGTCTCTCTTGAAGCCCAGGCTGGCCTCGAATTCAGGGAGTCACCACAGCTGCTTTGCTTTTTACTTCAAGTCCAATGCCCTTTGCTGTGCTCCTGCTACTAGATGCTATTAGTGCCACCCGGGCTCAGTCAGTGGCATACCCAGGAGGCCACCTGTGACACCCACCCACAAAGGCCCTGTCATCTTCTGCTCCATCAGCCTCACTGTTCTACCTGTCACACAGGGTTCCCATAGTTCCTTCCCCTTGACTCAGGAGCCTGCAGATGTCTCCTGGTCTTCAGAGTCTTCACACATATAGATCCTGACTGTCCAGCACCTTGTTCTTGGTGACCTGTCCACAGAGGAAGGCTGAGGACAGACGGAAGAGTCCAGACAGGTAGTCACTGTCTTTTATTGGAAAACATTGATATATATTTTTCTTCACAGCTTGAACTGAACACAATATTGCCCGGTTTAAAAAAAAAAGAAAAAACAAAACAAAAACAAAACAAAAAAACCAAAACAACGGAAAAAAAAAAAACAGAAAACCAAAACCAAAAACAAAATAAAAAACCCCGAAACATTCCGCAAAGTCCACAGCCTCACGCCTACCTGCCCTTGCCCTCAACTCTAGGCTGGGTCTCCTGATATGTTCTGTCCCTCCCTCCCTCAAGGCTGGTGCCAAGGGGTGGAGAAGAGAGTCTCAAAGCTGGGCAGGTCCCAGCAAAAAGCAACAAGATTGCCCTGGGGGGGCCAGATGAGAACAGAGAAAGGAAACGAACCCAGACTGAACTGCCCACGTTGACTGATGCGTCCCAGAGGCTAGAGTCAGAAGCAAGGGGGCGGATCATGCTCTCCGCTGGGGAGTGGGGCAGGCAGGGTGAGGGCAGAGGCGGGCAGAAAGCGATGCCAAGTCACCACAGAGGGGCAGGAGGTGCCCGCTGCGTGCTCTGCGCGGCGGCCCATAGAAGTGTTTATTGCAGGTTGGTTCTTGTGAGCATGGTGGGGCTCATCTCTCCTCTCCCCACCCTTTAGTTGGCCCGGCATGTTTAGGACAAAATCAAAGTTTTAAGGGGCATGAAGGGGAAGGAGGAAAAAAAGATCACCAGCACATTACAGAGCGACCATCCCCCACATCCATTCCTGGACCAGCCCTGAACTGGGCAGGTGGCTGGGGGCGCCATGGGGGAGCGGCTTGGGATGTTAGCACCAGGTATTTACAGAACAGCGTGAGATCGCTGGAGGGAGGAGGGCAAGTGTGATCGGCAGCCCCCCATCCAGCCTGACCTCAGAAAGCCAGCCAGATGGTTTCAGAACAGCATCAGCGAGACCCCAGTGCCTCCCGCTCTACCCGTCCCCTCCAGTAGTGAGATGAAAGCACGTGAGCTTCCAAGGCCTTCCTGGCCCTTCCCACCCTTCCACTCCCACCCCCACCCCTGTCCTGGGTCACATCCTCGACTCCCTCAGTCCTGGAACGTCCCATCCCCTCTTGGCACCCCGCCCCACAGGCTGCTGGGCTTGCACACAGAGTCACAGGGCTGGGGGGCATGCAACAGTGGCAGGGGACATGCTCCTCCACGTGGCAGAAGGCCTCGCTCCCCTCCCCACTGGGCAGGGACAGGAATGGTGGCCACCCTGGCACCCAAAAGAAGGGCAAACAAAGGAAACAAACCAAAAAAAGAAAAAACAAACAAAAAAAAAAACGGAGGAGAGCCATCCGGGCTGGAGGAGGAGGGCAGAGGCTCCCCAGGGCAGAGCAATGGGGTTCACCTTGTGAGTGCATCAGGCCTGGAGACTGGGAATGGAGGGGGAAGGCCAAGGGGAGCGATGAGGGCATGGAGGGACAGGAAGGAGAAAGAGCAGTCATGCAGCTTGGGACAAATCTTTTGTTGCTTTATCAGATTCTCAGTCAATCAATTGGTGTTTGCTAGAACCGGGTACGCAGGGGAGTGTTGAAGAGAGGAGAGCGCGAGAAGAGATCAGGAGAACGGGCATGGCCAGCTGCCCGGCCTTCACTTCGCAGTCATCATCTGTACAAACTCTGTCAAGAGAGAACGGGGTTGAGTCCACCGCACGCTGAGCCCCCACGGTTCTCCCAGCTCTGGGGCATGGACGCCATGCCCAACACGACTCACCTTCATAATTGACCTGGCCGTCTCCATCGATGTCAGCCTCCCGGATCATCTCGTCCACCTCCTCGTCCGTCAGCTTCTCCCCCAGGTTCGTCATGACATGACGCAGCTCGGCAGCACTGATATAGCCATTCCCATCCTGGGGTTTGGGGATAAAGGCTTGTCACTCAGGCTCCCCTGATGGGAGAGCTGCAGAGGGCAGGGATTGTCCATTGCCACCACCCCCATACTGGGTGGAGGGGTTCTGAAAGGGTAGGGGGTGGGGTGGGGGACTGTGGCTTTGGTATCTGTTCTAGGGCTGACTGCTTACCTTGTCAAAAACACGGAAGGCCTCTCGTATCTCCTCCTCGCTGTCTGTATCCTTCATCTTTCTGGCCATCATGGTCAGGAACTCTGGGAAGTCAATGGTCCCATTGCCTAGCAGAGGGGAAGGAGGCAGGTGTTTCCTGGAGCCCTCTAGAGAGAGGGGTTCCCAGGGTCACCGAGTGCGCGTGAGCGTGAGCGTGAGCGGGCACTCACCATCAGCATCCACCTCATTGATCATGTCCTGCAGCTCAGCCTCAGTGGGGTTCTGCCCCAGTGATCTCATCACGGTCCCCAACTCCTTGGTGGTAATGGTGCCATCTCCATCCTTGTCGAAGAGGGAGAAGGCTTCCTTGAACTCTGGGGAGGAAAGGAACGTACCAGGAGTCAGGCCTCAGGTTAGGGTCCTCTTTTGCTCTCCATTCTGCTGCATGAGAAGCCGTCCAGTCCCTCAGCCCGTCCAGCTGAGTGATCCAGCCTGACAGCTTCCTCTACTAACTCATTTCTTCTTGGTCCCTGCCTTTGGCCTCTCTCTCAAATGATGCGCTGGACCAAAGTTGTGGAGACGTTAAGGGGCAAGACAATTCTTCATCTCAAGTTCACTAGCCAAGGTCAACTGGCAGGAGGGAAAGGGGAGGCTGCAGAGGCTTCTGGCCAGCCTCAAATGGAATTGTGGCATCGAATTCCTTCTGTTGGGCACTGGCAGCCCAGTCCCCAGCTGTGGGTGCTACCAGCTTCCAGGGGAGGAGCCAAGCCTGTGGGGGCAGTGATGTGTGGGGGTGGTCCGCAGCAGGGCCTGGCTGATGGGCAGCGTGTGGGGTTGAGGGGATGGGATGCAAAGGGGATGGCTGCCAAGGCAGGAGGATGAGGAGCGTGGTGCTGTGTGGGAAGGCCGCAGCTGGGGCCCGCATCAGGAGAGGGAGAGAAGCATGTGGCTCCTGCCCTCCCACTGGGCCCACTTTGGCACCCAGAGCTCCCCACCCCCAAACCCTCAGAGAACAGATGCCTTGCAGCCTGTTCCCACAGGGTGTGGGCTGGGGGCGGTGGCGGAGGGGAGTGGTGGACGTTTTGCTAATGGGGACAGGGCAAAAAGTGAGGTGTTTGTGTTTACAGGAGGGCCAGGTTGGGGATCGCAGGTGGGGTGGGAGGGAGGGACACATATTGCTGGGCAGCTTGTGACCCAAGCTTCTGGGCTCCGGGAAAATGGCTCTTTGGGGATGCTGTCATCCCCCTATGCTGAGACCTGGCTGTGGGGTGGGGGTGGTGAGGTGGGGGTGCCAGTTGAGAGTGGGTCATGTGACCCACAAAGCCATGACCAACAAACAAGTCTAATCTTTTGGTTTTTCTTGGTGGATCTCTACCTGCCTAGGGCCAAAGTGGGGCTCTAAGGCAGCAAGCCCTTGTGTGGCACTCTGGTCATGGTGCAGGCAATGCTAAGGGCAGCGACCTGTTCTCTCACTTTGGCCTCTGGTCAGCTCTGCAGCAGTCAGCTGTTAGGAGACAGATACACCAGGAGCTGCCTCAGGCCTTCCGGCAGCACAGGCTGTGGAGGGGCAAAACCACAGAAACATAGTCCAAGGCTCCATCAGCCCTGTTCTGGTCTTCCTGGAGCTTGGGTGGGGGGCACAGTCACAAAAGTCACATGGGGTCTAAGGAGTTTCTTTTTAGCTCATGGGAGGTGTGTGTTTCTTGTTTATGCAGGAAGAATTTATGGAGTGCCTACTGCGCGCCAGGCACTGAGGATAGGGCAGCAATCAACAAAACCAAGTCCTGTGTGCTAGGAATTGATTCCTGGTGCCAGGCAACAACAGGAAGAGAAAGCGGAACACAGGTGGCCCATCAGACAAACCTGCACCACACAGGAGGGGAGGGAGGGAGGGAGAGAAAGGGATGCCTGCTTGAGCTGGGTTCAGGGTAGCTGAGCTCTGGTAAATGAAAGCAAATGAACAAGAAGAGGTGGGTATGGCCAGCCATCTTCTGGAGGTACCCAGGGTGGCCAGCCTACCCCAGGAGAGGCAGGGGGCACCTTCTCAGCCTGGCTGGCTGGAACTCAGGATGAGGGGGAACGGGACAGCTGGGTAGGTCCTGCAGTAAGAGGTCCATTTCAAGGCCCTAAGTGAGCTACAGTAAAGGAGGACAGACAGCCCCTGCAGCCTGGCCAGGGTCTGTGGCAGGGCCGTGGGGCAGGTGTGGCAGTTCCCAGCTAAGCTCTTTTACACACACACACACACACACACACACACACACACACACACACACTTCATGAGATGCAGGAGCTAGCTAAGACCTGGCTTGAGACAGAGGGGCAAGCTCACCTGCAATCTGTTCTTCGGTCAGCTGGTCAGCCTGGAAAAGGAGGAGTGAGAGTAAGTCACTGGGCTAACCTACCCACCCAGCCTGGATGCGGCCTCCTCCCCCTGCCCAGCCCCTTCTGCCCAGGCCAGCTTCCTAAAGCATTCTTGCTAAGCAAGGGAAGATCGCATCAGAGTCAGAGCCTGGGCTAGTTGGGACTCACTGGAACCACAGGCCTGCCCAACGCAGGCTGGGGAAGCATCTAGAGCTGCTCCAGTCCGACCTACACATGGTGCATGTGGTGCTGAGCTTTTACTCTGGGAACCCCAGAGGCTGAGGCAAGAAGCTGCTGCCCTAGAGGCCTCATCAGGCGCTCTAGAAGGCTCCAAAACAAAACAGGCCAGTTGCTGGGGAGGGCAGAGGGAAGCTGTCTGGGGCTGTGTTTGCTAATTTCTGTCACCTATTTGGAGGTACTAGGCCCAAGCAGTGTGGCTCCACGTAGCAAGATCTCTTTTAATTGGTGTCTCCATGTTGCTCCAGGGCCTAAGAGAACCCCGGTCAGCCAAGAGGCGGCTCTACCCACTTACATGCAGGGTAGGTGCAGCGCACCATTCCGTTCTGTTACTTATGGACAGGAGGGCCAAGTGGCAGGGACGGACTGCAGCAGGCAGCAATGGTGGCAAAGAACTGAAGCCTTCCAAATTCAGCACCGCAGTTTTTAACCCTTTTTAGTCCCGGCTACCTGAGGCCTGGCCAGCCATGGCAGACAGTCCTATTGGACCTAGGGTTTCCTAGAGGAGACACAGCTCTTAGCTTGTCCTTTACTGGAGCCCTGGTTATCTTGGGGTGTGGAGGTCCTAGAGGGAGGGGCAAAACGGGAGCTGGATCCCAACTTCAAGCTTTGAACAGTTAATAAGGCCAGCTTTGTGTGTGTGTGTGCGCGTGCGTGTGTGTGCGCGTGTGTATCCTGCCAAAAATAAAATTAATAAAAAAAAATCTCCTCTGTCCTAGGGTCGCTGTAATCCAGATGATGTTTCTTTCTCTTTTCCCATGAGGGCAAGGGGTACCAAGGCCACAGTAGGATCCTGGCCTGAGCTTCCAAGTCCCAGCAACGGAAGTAAACTATGGCAGGCATGTGCATCATCTTACTAAGGCTCTGGAGGTCCCAGCAGACATTACATACTACCACCTATCCCTAACCTTGAGCTAGTCTTAAAAACAACAGTCCACCCCCCCACCTTCTATATTCATAAATGATGCAATGGTGGCTGGGTATTGTCTAACCTAGAGGAAGAGGAACTAGAGACCAAGCCCCAGACAGGCAGTATCGGAGGAGAATCAAGGGATGAGGACAGATGGGAGACGCCTGCAGAGGGGGATGGGGTGGGGAGGGAAGATGTAAAGAAAGACATGGTAAAGGCCAGATGGACAGTCTTCTGCAGAGCTATCAAATATGACTCGGAGCAGCGGGCCTCCTAACCCTGACCCTTTGGCCCTCGTTCTACCTATCCCCCTGAGCCTGAGGGCTAGGGAGGACGATTAGGCCCACCCCTTGGTTCTGACACCTGAGGACACTGCTGGTGGCTACTCCCAGAAAGTGAGAAGAGAATGGGCTTCTGGTTACCAGCCTGTGCTGGGGGAGGGGTGGAGGCAGCCCAGAGGAACAGTGGGGAGATCAGCTATGGAGCCTGTCTGTTTTCCATTCTCTTCCAAAAAAAAAAAAGCCAGCCCACTCAGGGACCTTCCCATCACACAGGGCTGTCTGCAAGAAGCCCTGTTCCCTTCCCCTCTTGATGACCCCGAAAGGCAGAGGAGGCAAGGAGGCCAAGGCAGGCTGCGGACGGAATGGCCAAGCATGGCTCTGGAGGCCGCTATGTGCCATTTCTTCCCAAAGAGCTGGAAGCTGCAGAGGAGGCACTGTCACGCTTGCTGCAAATAGGCGTGGCTCTGGCTCTGTGGAGGGCCTGTCAGACACTCTCCCTGACATCCAGGAGCCCTTTTCCCTGCTCCACCAAGGAAAGGCCACAGACACCACGGCAGGGCTGCTGGCCCGGAAAACTGACGGCCCAAGAAGCAAGACTGACTACCGCTGGTGGGCCTCCCAGCTTAGATTGTTAGCTTTCACGGCACAATAAGCCACTGGTCTCCAGTTTCCTGAACCTTCATCTCAGGCTCCAGAGAGGGGCTGGACAAGAAAAATCAGCTTGAGGTGAGGAGGGAAGAGGGGATTATTTCTGTCTTGCCCCAGCCCCCAGCAGGTGCCAGAAAGCAGTGTTAAATGACCCCAGAAACCAAGGCCAGGCCCCTCACCCAGGGCCAAGGAGGAGCCACAGAGCTCAGGCCAAAGTCCAAGGCCAGTTACCAGGGACTCTTGCCTTCCACACCTTGCTGAATACAAACAGGAAGAGAAAACCTGGTCAGGACCAAAGCTGGGACCCTCCTTTGGAGGTGGGGAATGGGCGTTGCTGGCAGCTGCCCAAGCTGCAGGGCCCCTTTAGCAAGGTTCTGCTGGGGGGGGGGGGGGAGGGGGTGGTGGCAAGAAGAGCCCTCAGGTCTGTGTCAGCAGTATGCGATCTGATACACAGTGGCGGCCGCCTGTCCTCCCAGGCTTTGCCAGGGAGGGTGGTGCACGCGGTTCCCAGCCTGAGCCTGGGGGGCGGGGGGTGTTGTGGGTGGCAGGACCAGGGGAGAAGTAATCTGCTATTTTGCTTCTAGAAGCTTTAGCTGTGGGAGCTGGGGAAGAGGCCTGGAAAGAACAAGTGGACCTCGAGTCACTGAGAGGGTCCTTGGAGGTCTTCTCTGGGCTTCACTGCAGCCCCCACCCTGAGGGGATGAGACTAGGCGTCTGTCACTGACACCACACTGTACTGTATTGCACTGTCATTTGGCACAGTGAGAAGCAGGTGCATGAGTCTGGAGGAGAGAAGGCAGTCCTCCTGGCCGAGAAGGGACAACGGGGGGGGGGGGGCAGGCCTCCTGGCTCAAACATCCTTTGATGCACCCCAAACTTTGACCCCGCTCCTATTTGATGCAGCTTCAGTGCGCAATAGGGACCTGAACAACTCCGCCCACCTGCTCCCACTGCCTCGGTGCCTTCAGCCTGGCCCAGCCCCATCCTTCCCAAGGAAAGGGGACCACAGGGCTACTCCTTCAGGTCCTCTGCGGCAGCCCATTACCAAGCGCGACTCATCAGCCTTTGTGTCGGGCCCTTTCCCTGGAGACACCCACCTCTAGCCCTCCCTACCTCAGCTACCACTCATTGTCTCCCACACTTCTCGAGAAGCCTGTCCAACCTCACCCCCACCACCCAAACTCCAGTCCTCCCCCACCCCTCACCTTGGAAACCCCGTTTTTCTCTGACCCAAACAAAACACGCCTTACCAACCCCAACCTCTCCTTCTAGTGCAACAACCTAAACCTCAGAATCCTGCCTAGCTGTCCCCAACCAAGTTCTCCACAAGGCTCCCCGGTTCCCCCCACTGCCCGTTATCACGTCCCCACTCCTCTAAAACATTTCTACGACCCCAACTCTCCTCAGCCCCGCTCTGGGTCCTCACAGGCTCCAAGAGCATCTTCTAGCCTCTGCTGCCACCCACCTCGGGCTCCTCCTTACCTCAGCCTGCACCTGACCCTCCTCCTCCTCTTCCTCCTCGGCAAGGCTTGTCCTTGGAGACCCCTCCCCCACCGGGGTCCGCTGTGCAGAAGTGACCTAGGCTCCCATCTATCCTCTCTGCAGAACACTCCCTAGGAACCGATCGGTCTTCCTCTCCCACTCAGGCTCCGCTACCCACGGTCACCCCTCCGGGAGCAGCCTCCTGCATTCCTCCAGAACCCAAAGCCTTCATCGCCGGTGTTTCCTATTTCCTGCTCCCGGGGACCCGGTGGATGTGATTCTAAGACCAATCGCTCCGTGAGGGATCCGAATGCCGCCTGGGGGGTGGGGATGTCCTGGTGCTCCCCACTGGAGCCTCAGACTGTCTGTTTTGGGGGTCCTACCAATTCCATCTGCAGCTAAAACCGCTTCTAGAAGTCCCAAGGGCCGCATGGGAGGTCCCGAGGGGCCCGGCCTCTCCCTCCCAGGGTTCGCTCGCCATCTCGGGGGGTCTCCACCCGACTTCGGCCGCCTCACTCACCATGGCGAGGCACCGGTATCCGGAGCTCGGGGATCGAGGTTACTCTGGCGGCGGCAGCAGCTGCAGCAGCTCGAGCTCTGCCGCGCGTCCGCGCCTCCACACTCTCTGCCCGCAGCGCGCGCCGCCGCCGCCGCCGCCCGCCCCAACGGTTCCTCAACGGCCGCCGCGCGCACCCCGCCTCGCCCAGCCCCGCCCCAGCCGGCCCGCGCGCTCCCGCTGCACTGCGGCTTCCTACGGATCCCTCCGCGCCCGGACCGCGGAGTTCGCCCCGTCCACGGAGCCCGGCTGATCGGCTGCCGGGCACGCGCACGCGCACGCGAGGACTACTTTCGGGCTCCGCGCTCTCGGCCCCTGGCCTCCGTTCCGCTTTCCTCTCTGGCGGAAGGGCACCGGTTGGCGGAGAGTGACGCGTCCCTGTGTGAGCCACGCCGCTATTGGACCCGCCTCGTGGCGGAAATGAGAACGCCACGCCGATTGGTCCGGCCTTCCCTGCAATGCGTCAAACTGGGGCGAGCCACCGCGCGTTGTGTGTGAGGGGGGAGCAGCGCGACCTGTGTGGCCCTGTGGAGCCGCGAGGGATAAAGAGGAGAAGACGGAAACAGAGTGGATGTTAGAGATGCAAATTCGTTGTCTCTGTGTCTCGGAAGTAGCAAAAGAGATGGAAGGAGAAGCAGAAGGACTTTGCTCTCTCCCCTTGAGCGAATACAAGATGGTTTAATCCAAAATCGTGGAGTCTGGGAGTAGGGCCTGGCCCGGCTCTTCACAGTGGCCGACCCTTCAAGCTTCCGTTCGTCTCCTAAAGGTTCCACCCTCTACCGTACAATTCGCTGGGGTGGCTGAGTGGGTGAAGGCGCTTGCAGGCAAGCTAGATGCTGTGAGTTCGATCACCAGGACTCACGTGGTGGAAAGGACAACAGACTTCCACAAGTAGTTGTCCTCTGACTTCTACATGCGCTCCATATACATAAGTGTAAATAAGCGCAAATTTAAAACATGCACAACAGCAACACGTGAGAATCTGGACTCTTAATCTCAGGATCTGTACCCAGGACAATCTTTGGATGCAGAATGTTCTTTTCATTCATTCATTCATTCATTCATTCATTCATTCATTCATTCAATAAACATGAATTGGGCACTGCTGTACGCACAGATTTGGTGCTTGGCTAGGCTGGGGATATCCCACTTCTCAGTTATTCTCTCATCTAGACAGTGTGACTCACTTCTTATTCTAGGGGTTCCAGGCACAGAAAGAAAAAAAAATGTTGCTAAGGGTACCTGAGACTAGACTACTGTATTGTATACCACAGTGCATTATAATATATATATATATATGTATATATACACATATGTATATATAGTACACTTTGTACATAACTGCACAGAACCCTCATATAGGATGGGAGCTGGCATTTCTTCCTTTTATTTATTTATTTATTTATTTATTTATTTATTTTTATTTTGAGACTGTGTAGCCCTGGCTGTCCTGGAACTCCCTCTGTAGACGAGGCTGGCCTCCAACTCAAAGATCCGTCTGCCTCATGCCTTCAGAATCAAAGGTATGCACCACTACTCCCAGGCAAGAACTGACATTCTCTACAATGATGGGGGGGGGAGAGAGAGAGAGAGAGAGGATTAATTCAGCAAGACTAATCATGCTGCCCCATCCAAAACAGGTTGAACCAATGAGAGACCTTCCCTGGGTCTGGAGCTTCTAGAGTCAGAAGACCTTTTTTTTTTTAATGGGGAGGGAGAGACTGGGAGAATATAGTCTTTCTGTAGATGCTGCCACCGCCTGTGGACATCTTTTAAATCTGCACTCATCTCAAGACAGAAAATGTGTCTAGAGCAGAAGGAAATAAAACTGGCAGAGCAGAGGCAGAGAGGAAGAAGGAAGGCTCTTGTTGACACTGGTTTAAACTGCAACCCGTAATGTGAGGATTAAAACACACATGAAAGTGGTTCTCACCCTGTGGGTCACGACCCCCGTGTGGGTCACATATCAGATATCTTGTTTATCAGATATTTACATAATGATTCATAACGGTAGCAAAGTTACAGGTTTGAACTAGCAATGAAATAATTTTTATTTATTTGTTTACAGTGTTCTGCCTGTATGGATGGCTGCAGGCCAGAAGAGGGCATCGGATCCCATTACAGATGGTTATGAGCCACCATGTGGTTGCTGGGAATTGAACTCAGGACCTCCGGAAGAGCAGTCAGTGCTCTTAACCTCTGAGCCATCTCTCCAGCCCACAATGAAAATAATTTTATGGTTGTGGGTCCCCACAACATGAGGGATTGTATTTATATGGTTGCAGCATTAGGAAGGTTGAGAACCACAGACTTAGGACATTAAAATATGTTCTCTCTTGTTTTTGAGTCAGGGAATCTTAGTTTGGTTTCCATTTCTGTAATAAAAGCCATGTCCAAAAGCAGCCTGGGGAAGAAAGGGCCTATTCGGCTTACAGGCTACAGTCCTTCTTGAAGGAAAGGCAAGGCAGGAACCAGGAGACAAGAACTGAAGCACAGGCCATGGAGGACCCCTGCTTCCTGGCTTGCTCCTTACAGCTTGCTCAGCCTGCCTTCTCATATCACTCAGAACCACCTGCCCAGAGGTGGCGCCTGCCTCAGCCTTCCCATGTAGATCATCAGTCAAGGAGACTCCCCAAATGGTTGTTCACAGGCTGGTCTGATAGGAGAAGTTTCTCAATTGAGGCTCCCTTTTCTCAGATGAATCTGGCTTGTGTCAAGTTGCAATAAAATTAACCTGTACACAGGGTCTTACTATATAGCCCAGGCTAGTCTTGATTCTCCTGCCTCAGCTTCTTTAGTGTTGGGATTGCAAACATATACCATTTGTGTATAACTCTTTTAAAGGGCTTTTTTTTTTTTTTTTGATCCGGTCTCTTAGTATCCCAGGCTAGCCTCGAACTCTCACAATGTACCAAAGATGATCTTGGTTCTCTTACCCTTCTGCATCCACTAAATGTGTGCTAAGATTGCAGGTGTGCCACCACCATGCCAGGTTTGATCAGTGCTAGGACTGAGCTCACGACTTTCTGCATGCCAGGTAAACCCTGGGCAGGCACACCCCAGCTAAGCCTGCATTCAAGCACAGCCCTGAGCCGCCAGGCTTTGAGCGATCCAGCGGCAGCCCACATTGTATTTCTCTCTGATACTCTGATCTCCCATCTTCCAGAATAGTTGCTGGATTTTGCTAGCTGCATTGCTACCCAGGATAAAAGCAACATTTCTGAATGACCTGCTAGTCAGGTGTGATTGCGTGACTAAATTCTACCAAAGAAGGGAAGTGAAATTATATGTTCAATTCCAGGGCTATACTTTTAAAAGGGGGGTGTGCTAGGTTTTTTGTTTGGTTTTTTTTTTGTTTGTTTTTGAGACAGGGTTTCTCTGTGTGGCCCTGGCTGTCCTGGAGCTCACTTTGTAGACCAGGCTGGCCTCAGACTCAGAGATCCACGTGCCTCTGCCTCTGGAGTGCTGGAATTAAGGGCATGCGCCACCATACCTGCTTTTGTTTTATTTTGATACAAGAGGATTGAAAATGTAAGGCCATCCGGGCTGTATAATATGACCCTGTGTCAAAGGATTTCTTTCCTTTTTCTCTTTGTTTCTTTCTTTCTATGTGTGTGGGTGTTTTGCCTACAATATGTCTTGGCACAACATTCATCCCTGGTACCTGAGGTGGACAGAAGAGGGCTTTGGATCCCCTGGACCTGGAGTCCAGGAATTGAACCCAGGTCCTCAAGAAGAGCAGCCAGTGCTTTTAACCACTGTGCCATCTCTCTATCCCCAAAGAGAAGTTTCTTTCTTTTTCTCTTTTAAAGATTTATTTATTTATTTTATGTATATGAGTACACTGTAGCTATCTTCAGACACACCAGAAGAGGGCATCAGATCCCACTACAGATGGTTGTGAGCCACCATGTGGTTGCTGGGAATTGAACTCAGGACCTCTGCAAGAGCAGTCAGTGCTCTTAACTGCTGAGCCATCTCTCCAGACCTCAGGAAGTTTCTTTAAGCAAATAGCACAACAGATTATTTCTTTCTTTAAAAGATTCCTTCCTTCCTTCCTTCCTTCCTTCCTTCCTTCCTTCCTTCCTTCCTTCCTTCCTT